AGCCATCACTGTGGACCCTATAGGGAAAAACACCAATTTCAAGGGATCCCATCACGAAAAATGGACAAAAAATCGTAAAAATATTTGCTCTCAGGATTTTGATGCAGAATGGTGGAGAATCGATCCAGAAATCGTTTAAGGTACTCCGCTTAAGAATCGGATGAGAATTGGGGAAGATAAAGCCATCACTGTGGACCCTATAGGGAAAAACACCATTTTCAAGGACCCTATAGGGAAAACACCATTTTCAAGGGATCACCAAAAATGGACAAAAAATCTTAAAAATATTTTCTCTCAGTATTTTGATGCAGAATGGTGGAGAATCGATCCAGAAATCGTTACTCCGCTTAAGAATCGGATGAGAATTGGGGAAGATATAGCCAGCACTGTGGACCCTATAGGGAAAACACCATTTTCAAGGGATCTCATCACCAAAAATGGACAAAAAATCGTAAAAATATTTGCTCTCAGGATTTTGATGCAAAGTGGTGGAGAATCGATCCAGAAATCGTTTAAGGTACTCCGCTTAAGAATCGGATGAGAATTGGGGAAGATATAGCCATCACTGTGGACCCTATAGGGAAAAAATCATTTTCAAGGGATCTCATCACCAAAAATGGACAAAAAATCGTAAAAATATTTTATCTCAGGATTTTGATGCAGAATGGTAGAGAATCGATCCAGAAATCGTTTAAGGTACTCCGCTTAAGAATCGGATGAGAATTGGGGAAGACAAAGCCATCACTGTGGACCCTATAGGGAAAAACACCAATTTCAAGGGATCCCATCACGAAAAATGGACAAAAAATCGTAAAAATATTTGCTCTCAGGCTTTTGATGCAGAATGGTGGAGAATCGATCCAGAAATCGTTTAAGGTACTCCGCTTAAGAATCGGATGAGAATTGGGGAAGATATAGCCATCACTGTGGACCCTATAGGGAAAAAATCATTTTCAAGGGATCTCATCACCAAAAATGGACAAAAAATCGTAAAAATATTTTATCTCAGGATTTTGATGCAGAATGGTGGAGAATCGATCCAGAAATCGTGTAAGGTACTCCGCTTAAGAATCGGATGAGAATTGGGGAAGATAAAGCCATCACTGTGGACCCTATAGGGAAAACACCATTTTCAAGGGATCTCATCACCAAAAATGGACAAAAAATCGTAAAAATATTTTATCTCAGGGTTTTGATGCAGAATGGTGGAGAATCGATCTAGAAATCGTTTAAGATACTCCGCTTGAGAATCGAATCAGGATTGGGGAAGATATAGCCATCACTGTGGACCCTATAGGGAAAACACCGTTTTCAAGGGATCTACCAGGGATCACCACTCAAGGGATCACCAAAAATGGACAAAAAATCGTAAAAATAATTGCTCTCAGGATTTTGATGCAGAATGGTGGAGAATCGATCCAGAAATCGTTTAAGGTACTCCGCTTAAGAATCGGATGAGAATTGGGGAAGATATAGCCATCACTGTGGACCCTATAGGGAAAAAATCATTTTCAAGGGATCTCATCACCAAAAATGGACAAAAAATCGTAAAAATATTTTATCTCAGGATTTTGATGCAGAATGGTGGAGAATCGATCCAGAAATCGTGTAAGGTACTCCGCTTAAGAATCGGATGAGAATTGGGGAAGATAAAGCCATCACTGTGGACCCTATAGGGAAAACACCATTTTCAAGGGATCTCATCACCAAAAATGGACAAAAAATCGTAAAAATATTTTATCTCAGGGTTTTGATGCAGAATGGTGGAGAATCGATCTAGAAATCGTTTAAGATACTCCGCTTGAGAATCGAATCAGGATTGGGGAAGATATAGCCATCACTGTGGACCCTATAGGGAAAACACCGTTTTCAAGGGATCTACCAGGGATCACCACTCAAGGGATCACCAAAAATGGACAAAAAATCTTAAAAATATTTTCTTTCAGTATTTTGATGCAGAATGGTGGAGAATCGATCCAGAAATCGTTTAAGGTACTCCGCTTGAGAATTGGATGAGAATTGGGAAAGATATAGCTATCACTGTGGACCCTATAGGGGAAAACCCCATTTTTAAGGGATGCCATCACGAAAAATGGACAAAAAATCTTAAAAATTTTTGCTCTCAGGATTTTGATGCAGAATGGTGGAGAATCGATCCAGAAATCGTTTAAGGTACTCCGCTTGAGAACCGGATGAAAATTGGGCAAGATATAGCTATCACTGTGGGCCATATAGGGGAAAACCCCCCCTATACGGGGATCCCATCACCACAAATGGAAAAAAATATAAAAAAATATTTTATCCCAGGATTTTGATGCAGAATGGTGGAGTCAATAGAATGGAATAGAAGAATGGTATTTTCAATAAATTCGTAAAAAAGATGTGTAAATATAATTGAATTAAATATTTTGTAATCTAAAATTACTAGTTACTAGTAATCCTTCGTACAAACTGACTCATAGGTGGTGACTTTAAAGTTTAAAGTCGAAAACCACCAACATACACCTGATAATCCCTTTAAATATGGGCAGGATCAACCCGCACTTGTTTTGGAACATCCCGATACGAACCAAAGCAAACCATGTCATGATTTGCGTGCGAATCTTGTGATGCAGATTTTGATTTTGATGCAGAATGGTAGAGAATCGATCCAGAAATCGTTTAAGGTACTCCGCTTAAGAATCGGATGAGAATTGGGGAAGATAAAGCCATCACTGTGGACCCTATAGGGAAAACACCATTTTCAAGGGATCTCATCACCAAAAATGGACAAAAAATCGTAAAAATATTTTATCTCAGGGTTTTGATGCAGAATGGTGGAGAATCGATCTAGAAATCGTTTAAGATACTCCGCTTGAGAATCGAATCAGGATTGGGGAAGATATAGCCATCACTGTGGACCCTATAGGGAAAAACACCATTTTCAAGGGATCTCATCACCAAAAATGGACAAAAAATCGTAAAAATAATTGCTCTCAGGATTTTGATGCAGAATGGTGGAGAATCGATCCAGAAATCGTTTAAAGTACTCCGCTTAAGAATCGGATGAGAATTGGGGAAGATAAAGCCATCCATGTGGACCCTATAGGGAAAAACACCATTTTCAAGGGATCGCATCACCAAAAATGGACAAAAAATCTTAAAAATATTTTCTCTCAGGATTTTGATGCAGAATGGTGGAGAATCGATCCAGAAATCGTTTAAGGTACTCCGCTTGAGAATTGGATGAGAATTGGGGAAGATATAGCTATCACTGTGGGCCATATAGAGGAAAACCCCATTTTTAAGGGATGCCATCACGAAAAATGGACAAAAAATCTTAAAAATATTTTCTCTCAGTATTTTGATGCAGAATGGTGGAGAATCGATCCAGAAATCGTTTAAGGTACTCCGCTTGAGAATTGGATGAGAATTGGGAAAGATATAGCTATCACTGTGGACCCTATAGGGGAAAACCCCATTTTTAAGGGATGCCATCACGAAAAATGGACAAAAAATCTTAAAAATTTTTGCTCTCAGGATTTTGATGCAGAATGGTGGAGAATCGATCCAGAAATCGTTTAAGGTACTCCGCTTGAGAACCGGATGAGAATTGGGCAAGATATAGCTATCACTGTGGGCCATATAGGGGAAAACCCCCTCCTATACGGGGATCCCATCACCACAAATGGAAAAAAATATTAAAAAATATTTTATCCCAGGATTTTGATGCAGAATGGTGGAGTCAATAGAATGGAATAGAAGAATGGTATTTTCAATAAATTCGTAAAAAAGATGTGTAAATATAATTGAATTAAATATTTTGTAATCTAAAATTACTAGTTACTAGTAATCCTTCGTACAAACTGACTCATAGGTGGTGACTTTAAAGTTTAAAGTCGAAAAACCACCAACATACACCTGATAATCCCCTTAAATATGGGCAGGATCAACCCGCACTTGTTTTGGAACATCCCGATACGAACCAAAGCAAACCATGTCATGATTTGCGTGCGAATCCCAGCAGCTGCTGGAGAGGAAAACCCTCGATGAAGTCTCATTGCATAAGGATCGGGAAGGCTTCCTAAACGAAACCAAAAACTATTATACAAAATTTGACAGGGCAAACAAAGCGTGAAATTATTATTAATAAATTGGTGCGCCCGGAGGGTAGAGCCGCAAAAAAGGGCCAGCAATTGGAAGGCAATTGTAGCAACCCCTAACCGAGGACAACCCAGGAACAAGTGTAACACTTCAGGGATAGTCTAGCGCGAGAGACGTCCTGGCTAAATACCAAGGAATTTTTGTGTGCAACGCCCATTGCCGACAGATTAGCGCCCCTCGACCGGGGCGTCAAATTAATTCGGCAAGGATATTGCAAGGACATTACGCCGGAAGTCAGAAATCCGACTCATACCTGAGGGTTGACTTTGCCAGCGGCCCTTGTTGCTATTGTTTTGGTAGTTTGGTGTACAATATGTTTTGATGAATTTGTGACACTTCATGCCGCATTAGAGGGCATGCCGCTCTGGGGTTGCATACCGCATCCCTTCGTTTATGAAGTGGACTCACGTGTCGGCGATTAGCTCATCAGTTAAGTCTTTTCTAATCATATATCTTTGAATCTTAAATCTAAATATGGTTGCTTCCGCCACCTGTGGTGTGAGAACGATACCTATAATATTTTAATATTAAAATTAAGTTCTACATATGAACTGGGAGTACCCAAATAAATAAGATTCATCCCCGTTCGACCTTGTGTGTCAAATCGCTATGACAAATTAATTGAATTTCGTTTCAATTTCCAGATTTTTTGACCATTTTTCGACACTTTTTCGGGACACAATTAGGGCAAAATCCAATATATATTAGGTCATGATAGATGGGATTTATCGGAAAAAATAACAGATGTTTTTGGAAGCTACTTAGAGACATTTTTCGCGGGGGTTCTAACAGAAAGTTCATTCTCATTTTTGGCGATTAAATTCTGTTTTCTGTGTGACTTATCTAAGATAACTTGAAAGTCACGAATCATGTTTGCCAGACTTCATAAATTTCAATTACCTAACCTACATTGCCTATCTGGGGCACTTATCGATTCTCGTTTATGAAAAGTACTTGGGGCTTTGCTAGTTTCCCCCAGTAGTTTAGTTCGCAATCGGTCATAGAGAAGAATGTCGACTCCAATATTTCTGACACAACGTTCCCAAGACGTATCTGTGCCCAGCTGGGTGGATACCAAGGATCTGGAAGACGTGTTAAAGAAAGAGATTCCTGACTTTCGGAAAATAGAGTCTACCCAATATAAGTGGGAGCAGCAGCTATCACAACCGGCACTACGAGTTCAAATTCAAGTTCAATGTGCAGGTATGATTTTCTTCTATTATTATTATAAAATCACAATAAAAATAATTTTAAATTCTCAGCAAACAAGAGACGCCAAGTGAATTACCTTATCAAATCCAAAGAGACTATAGAAAGTGTATTGAAGCTACCCATCAAAGGAGACTTTTCCTCCGAACTCCATATGTATGAAGAAGTCCTGCCTGCCCTGGAAGACTTATACCGAAACGTGGACAAGACTATCCACTTTAGTCCTGCCTCTTTCAAGTCTAAGCAGAAATCCGAATGCCTGTATTTGGACTACATTCTAACCAAAGGCTACTCCCTGGCCACAACAGCCAAGGGTCTGTCCGCAACTGCCATGGAGGCGGTACTTTCCAAACTGGCGGCTTATCATGCGGGAACCGCTTGCTATATAGAGCGAAATCGGGGCAAGATTAGGGAGCTTCCAAAGCTTGGAGCCCCATTTATGTTTGGGGGAGCGGCCGGCGAGTTGAAGAGCTTGTTCCAAATGAAATTTCATGAAAGCCTCCGATCCAATGACCTCAGGGAATACGAAGATAAGGTGGTAAGTAAACATGGATACTTTTATGCCAGATAGACTTGTATTGATTCCTTAACTCCTGATAGAAATCTTTTCAAAAATATTTGAAAGCCAATACAACATCGATCGATACAAGGTCGTCATTCAATGTCATCCTCAATGGTTCGTGTTGGCCAAATAACTTGCTCTACCAAGCCGATGCCTTTGGTAATGTGAAGGATCCCCTCTTCATTGACTTTCATGCCGCCAAGTATGGACCTGCTGTCTACGACCTTTTCAGCTTACTCCTGACGGCTCCAGCTGAAAAATCAGCAAGATTCGATGGCTATCTAAACTACTACCATGATCAGTTGTTGGCCAACTTGAAGCTGTTACAGTTCCAGGGAAAAAAGCCTACTCTAACGGATTTGCAGCTAGATCTGCTGAAATACGGTCATTGGGGTAGGTCTCCAAACGATTGAAGTGGAACTTATAATATATTAAAATATCCACAGCTTTTGAGGTGGCCACGGAAATACTACCCATTATTCTGGCGGAATTGGAGACTGAGGATATCGATGATCTCTTCAGGAACTCAGTATTTGGGCAGCAAATCAGAGAAATTCTACCTTGGCTGGAGAATCGTGGCTATTTTGAAGAAGATTAGCAGCCAGTTTTTGTGTTTAATTCGACAAAATAATTTGTTTATTTAATAAACTTTATTATATACACAAAGAAAGGTTTCTTGGACTTTTATTTTAAGTAGGGGATTAACAGACTAAGTAGACTCATTGGCTACCCACATGCCTGAATAATTTAAAAAGCTTTGCGTGTGTCTAGGGTCCAGAAAATGATTTGTCGGAATGAGCAGAGCATTTTTAAAGCTAACGTAGAATCTTTGAAGAGATAAATAAACCCACTTTTTGCCAGTCATCGATTAAATGCAGTCCGTAATAATGAACTAGCACAAAAGCTACGAAACTTGATTAGCAAGTTTAGAGTCTCAAAATCAGCTGGTTGATTTGAACTTTGTTGAGGGATTAGGCAATTAATCTTGGCTAGACAATTAAGAAGTAGAATTATTCTATGTAACTTCGTCCATTGATCTCGTCAAACAGGTCCACCCTATACACGAGACTCGGAGGCATTTTGTTTGCCAACGAAATTAAGCAAAAAGCTTATTTTGGCTTTTTGAAAAGCTCAGATACTCAACCTACCGGCTACTATATAAGGCGGCTGCCTCTACAAGTTGCGCCAAACAATCTAAACAGCACTCGAAATGGTTCAGGAAAATCAAGCTAGCCCCAATGGGGTGGTGGATCAGCATTTGTTTAGGCCGTTCTTGGATCGGGACTTTCCAGAGCTGAAGAACATCAAGGAGTTCAAGCTGGAGTCAGTAGGCGGAAAGGGTGAGAACTATACCACCTGCCTGCTAAGGGCCAAGTTTGAACTGGAACTGAATGGTGAGTATTTCGATTGTTTTTAACTAAGTTAAAAAGTTAAAAAGTAGCTACAAGTAATACGAGATACGATACAATTCTTAATATTAATATTTTATAGATGGCTCTCATCGGAGCATTTCATACATGGCGAAAACATTGCCGCCAACCAGACGGGAACAGGTCTCCTCCTGGAACGTCTTCCACAAAGAACACACCACCTACAGGGACTATGTTTCGGATTTCGAAGAAATGTTTAAAGATGCAGGAAAGGATGTTACCTTTGCGGCAAAATACTACCCTACAAATGACAAACTGGAGGAAGAACTATTGATATTGGAGGACTTGGGACAGCGGGGATTCCGTAACGCAAACCGTATTGCTGGCTTGGACCTCACCCACACGAAGGCCATTCTGGAGAAGTTGGCCCAATTCCATGCAGCCTCTGCTGTGAGGTTCGAACTCAAAGGAGCTTATCCCGCTGACTTTGATAGAAATATCTGCAGTAAGACGGACGACTTTAAGGATTTTCGGGAATCCCAAGCAAAGGCTTTTGTAGAGGCGCTGCCTCTCTACGAGTCTGCTGATTTAAAGGGTGCTGTGGTAAGTATTTATTTTGTAGAAAAATATATGAACCATAATAAAATTGTTGGTCTTATTTCTTAGGAATCCTATGCCAGCCAGGCGGAGGACATGTTCCAGGCCTATGCCCCCCGCACTGAAGGAGAGTTTTCTGTTTTGAATCATGGGGATGCCTGGTGCAATAACTACATGTTCCAGTACGACGAGGCAGGACAGCTTAAGGAAACCTACTTTGTGGACCTGCAAATGTGTCGCTATAGCTCACCTGCCCAGGACCTGCTCTACTTCATACTGTCCTCCACCGATATCGAAATCAAGATTGCCAAGTTCGACTACTTGGTGAAGTTTTATCATGGAAAGCTCACGGAGAATCTGCAGCTCCTGAAGTATCCCAAGAAGCTGCCTTCCCTGCGAAGCCTTCACCAGTCTATCTTTAAACATGCAGATTGGGGTAAGTACATAGCTCATGGTTTAACTATCTATCATATACATAATATTACCCTTTTTTTGCAGTTTTCCCAATAGTTACTGTTTTACTTCCGATTGTTGTGCTGGAGGGAAGTGACGATGCCAACATGGACACCATGATGGACAACGAGGGTGCCGGAGACAAATTCAGGAACAACATGTTCCAAAATTCCCGCATCATAAAACATCAGAAGGAGATTCTACCCTGGGCCTACAATCGCGGAGCATTTGAAGTCCGCAAATAGTTTATATTATATTTAAACAAACTGCTGAGATAATACTACTGTGCCAAATACACTAAAGCCTTAGACAATACCCATTATCAACTGAACAGCCTTTATCACTGAATCTGAGCTGATAGCGCGATTTGAGCGCTGTTATCAAGGAAAAGTCTATGAGATATGAGTGGGCCGAGAATCACTCAGACCCCTGTTTGAGTTCACTCTACTATTGCTCTAAAATTGTGGCGTCTGATGAAATAATTGACCATTATCAACGCAACTAGTCTGGGGCTTTGCACGCCAAACATTAGTTTGAAAACATTCCCCCAGCTGAACGGACGTTTAAAATCCGCGAAAAGATACTCTTGTGTTGCAAAACAAATAAAAAAAGCAATGGGTCTGGGGAATTCCAAGTCGAAGAAGAGCTACAAAGTAGCCTCTGCCGACTCAAATAGTTCCAAAAGTAATCCTACCGAAAGTGTAAAGGTCCAGAGTTCTATAACGCCCAGTCCTTTTACTACTGCTGACCCCAGTCCGGAAATTCTAGATAGCAAATTAGTGCCCAAGTGGCTCAATGAAACGCAATTTATAGAACTACTATCTGAATATGTCGCTGATTTTTCGAAAATAACCAACTTTCGGGTGAAACCCGCCATGGCACCTGGAGAAAACTATGCCACTCTGATGCTCAGGATCATGATTGATGTCGAGCTTAATGGTAAGCTAGTGAAAATCGGAATATATATAGCTCATAAGTCAAAAAAACACCAATTGAAATGCATTATCTAGCTGCCGAGCAGGTAACCCGATATTTTAGGAGAACCGATAAGCGGTATCAGAAATGTATTTCAGATTTCAAACAATAAAAGTTTGTGTTATTCATGGCACAATTATAGACATTCTTTATCTATCAAAGAACCTATATTATATATCAACTACAAGCTTCCATTGTTTTTACCTCCACCTCCCCCCACAGACAAAACCACCAAGCAGGTCTCGTTCATGATGAAGGTTCCACACGACACTCCCCAAATGGAACAAATGCTGACCATGGCCAACTTTTTTAACGTTGAGAACACAGTCTACATCGACATCTTGCCCAAACTGGAGGGCCTCTACAAGGCCAAGGGTCTGGACATCACCTTTGCTCCGAAAGCCTTTAAGCTGGACTCCCAGAAGGAACCCAAGCTGGCCAATACTGTTCTTATGAATGATCTGGGCCAAGATGGATTTAAGAACTTGAATCGTTTGGAGTGCCTTAACTTTAAGCAAACTAAGTTTGTCCTGAAAAAGATAGCCCAGTTCCATGCGGCCTCCGCAATGTATGTCCAAGTCCATGGACAGTTCCCGGACGTATTCGTTAGTGGAATGCTGGGGGGAAATAGGGAGGCAATGATGGCATTTTACGAGGGTATGATTGCGTCCTTCCGAACCTCTTTCATGGCCAATCTGAAGAACTTTGATAACGGAGAAGACTACCGTGAAAAACTGGTATATTTTTCTCTCAAACAAGCTATATTTCAAATAAAAACATAAAACCATTTTCCAGACTAAGGCTTTCGAGCAAATCACGTTGAATTTTGATCATCTTACGAAGGTTGATCCTGCCGAGTTCAATGTCCTTAACCACGGGGATTGCTGGATGAATAATCTGCTGTTCAAGGCTGACTCTAAGGGCAAAGTGGAGGACATGGTGTTTGTCGATTTCCAGAATCCCAAATATGGTTCACCTTCCCAGGATTTGTTCTATTTCCTCATAACCTCCGTTCATATCGATTACAAGCTAGATTACTTCGACTTCTTCATGAGACACTACCATGAAGAGTTGACCAAACATTTGGATCTTTTGGGCTTTACGGGTTTTAAGCCTTCGCTAAGAGAACTCCATATAAAGATGTTCCAAAACGGAAGCTGGGCTCTTTTCCCATCCATCACCGTTCTGCCTGTGGTGCTCCTGGATCCTGGAAACGAAGCTGCCACTTTCGACAACTTCCTGGGGGACACCGAGGCGGCCGCCAAGTTCAAGGACCTCCTGTATTCTAACAAACGCTACAAGAAGTACATTGAAAAGATTTTTCCCTGGCTTGAAAATCGGGGTTTCCTGGAGTCCTAGTAAGTTTACATTTCCTAAGGAGGCTTAACCGTTTTAAGCTTCATCTATATTTTAGCCAGAAATCTCCTGCTCAGGCTCCATTATCCCCTCAGGCATCGGCTGAAAATCCCGACCAGATCATGGACTGGTTGAATATAAACGACTTTTCCGAAATTATTTCAGCTAATGAACCCCAATTTGAAAAAATAGAGAGCGGCTCTTGGAAATCAGCCACAAAACCCGGTGATAACTTCGCTTCTCAATTGTTGAAGATTGATATTCAAGCTAAATTAAAGGGTACGTTTTTTTTAAGAATATATACCTGAAGAACTAAAAAATGAAGTTATAACCAACAGACAGCAGCACAAAGACATTCTCCTACATTCTGAAAGTGAAACTCCCAGACCCTGGGGATAATTTCGCAGATTTTAATATGTTTCCAAAGGAAATCCAAATGTATAGTACATATGTGCCCGCTTTCGAAAAGTTGTACAAGGATGCCGGCTTGAATGTCACATTCAGTGCCAAGTCCTTCTTTTTGAGCAAACCCATCAAGGAGGAATATTTGATAATGGAGAACCTGCAAGCTAGTGGCTTCCAGATGTGTGACCGCCTGAAGGGATTGGATCTGGAACACACCAAGAGTACACTGAAAAAACTGGCTCAATGGCATGCAGCTTCTTTGAAATACAAAGAGTTAAATGGTCCTTATCCTCCATTGTACAATGATGGCATCTACATCCCAGCCACAAGGGATCTGTTCACCACAATGTTCACTCAAGCCAAGGACGCTTATGTGGAGCATCTGGGAAAGATTGAGGGCTCCGAAGAATATCTGCATAAGCTGGTAAAGTACCCTAACTATAATCTATCTGTACTCTTTTTTATTCACCTCCTTTTAGCCACGATTGGTGGAGAGCCATGTAGATCAGGTTATTGAAGACGGCCAAATAAATGAAAAGGAATTCAATGTACTCAACCATGGCGATGCCTGGATAAACAATTTAATGTTCCAGTACGATTCCGAAGGTCAACTAAAGGAAACATTCCTGCTGGACCACCAGAACGCCAAATATGGCAATCCTGCCCAGGATCTCTACTATTTCCTTATGAGCTCGACGGAACTGGATATTAAGGTGGATAAGTTTGATTATCTAATCAAATGGTATCACGATAACCTTGTGGAGCATGCCACGCTCTTGAAATACTCTGGTTTTTTGCCTGAACTGAAGGAGCTTCACACAATTCTAATAGATCATCCAGCCTTTGGTAAGCTGTATTTCTATTGAGGCTTAAAAAATTTTATTAATATTTTTGAGTGATTGCAGCTATTGGCACAGTTATAAGTACTTTAACCGTTTGCCTCAACAAGACCGATGACAGCTTTAATACCAACGACTTCTTCACTGAAGGTCCTAACTCAGATGCCTTCCGAGCCTCACTCCTTGGAAATGAGCGGTACACAGCCCAAGTAGAGCGTATACTTCCCTGGCTTAATAGACGGGGTCTTCTTGACTTTTGAGATAGCTCTGGATGTCTACTGAACTATTGAGAAAATAATTGTTTTTTACCTCATTTATTTCATGTAGTACACATTGTTATAGTATTTTCTAAATAAAGTTTATTTCTTTTATTTAAATATTTTTTCTTTGAATATACATACATCTATATCTATCTTTATATTTCCGCCTATCTATCCTTGTATATGATATAACTTCTTGATCATCCATAATGTGGTTTACATACAGCCAAAATATTAAAATTTTCTTTATATGGTATGTGTGTTCTGTCTACCAGACATACTTATTAAACAGCTTATTTGTTTATTTAACTAAACTGCCTATCACTTTTATTAATAAACTTTTTGCCTATACTTAAGTATATATAATATACTTATATATAATATATATATACTTATATATATATATAATATATATAAAATACATTCTATATACAAAAAATAATTGATAATGCTCTGCAAACAAATGTACCTTTAATAAAACAAACTAATGCCACTATCACCTAATGTTATCATTTTGTTAAACTTATCGCAAAGAATTTATAAAATGCTCTCCAAACTTGTCGGGCCTCTATGAACTTGAAAACACGAAAGCTCCTGAATGATTGTGAAATAATATACGTTTTATTTAAGGCAGGTGGTATCGGGTCAGCTAAACAACCCATTGATAAAGAATCCATAGCTATAGACTTGAGTCGTGTGCCGAGTTGAATGCCAGTTTTTAGTCGTTCGCCGAAGGGAACGGACACAGTACCTCCAGCGCTACAGATATACCTGAGGATTAAATATGGGCGGGTGGAATTCCAAGCATAAGAAAGGCGAAACGCCGGCTAAAAAATCGATCCAGCCGGAACCAAAGTCTGAAACTACACCGGCAACGACCGTTCCAACGAAAGATGACAGTAAATTGGTGCCTGAGTGGATAAATAAATCACTCTTTGAGGAGCTACTTGTTGCTAATGTGCCGCAATATTCAAAAATCTTGGATTTTCGGGCGAAACCCGCCATGGCCCCTGGTGAGAACTACGCCACACTTATGCTAAGGATCACCATCGAGGTAGAACTCACAGGTAGGTCTCCCAAGTGGTCGCACTCGAAGTCTTCGATTATTTATAGGTTTTATTGAAGGCCCAATCTGGTCAATCAAGATATGACGTTATGGCAATATCAATAATGGTTTTATAATCAGTACACCGTAACAATGTTTACTGGATTCATGATGACAAAGTTGATTTGAAGTATACTTTTATACTATTATCGTAAAATTTGCACGATATTAATGAATAATTTCGTTATTATTTATTTTTAACTAGACAAGAGCTCTAAGACAGTCTCCTTTATGATGAAGGTGCAACACAAAACCCCCCAAATGGAGCAAATGTTGGCTATGGCCAACTTCTTCAAAACGGAGACCTCCGCATATATTGACTTTTTACCTAAAATGGAAAATCTGTACAAGTCAAAGGGTATGGACATCACATTTGGACCAAGAGCTTTCACATTGGACACGACGAAGGAGCCGAATGCAGCCAACATTGTCCTGATGGACGATCTGGGTCAGGCTGGTTTCAAAAACCTTAATCGATTGGAGTGTCTTAACTTCGAACAGGCAAAGTTCGCCATTAAAAAACTGGCCCAGTTCCACGCAGCTGGTGCTATGATGGTTCAGGTACATGGACCTTATCCCGATATATTCGTATATGGCGTACTGGGGAAAAACCCGGAAATGATAAAAGGATTTGTGGAGGGAATGTTGGGACCATTCCGAACAGCATTCTTGGCTAATCTTGACAAGTTTAAGGATTGTGAGAAGTATCGCAGCAAGCTGGTTAGTCTTTCCCTTATATACATATATCATATATTAACTAACGATCCTGGTTTTAATTAGGATGCAGCTCTGGCCAATCTCACTGCGGAGTTTATGAAACTTGGGGAAATAGATCCCTCTGGGTTCAATGTCCTGGGACATGGAGACTGCTGGATGAATAATTTGTTGTTCAAAGTGGACTCCAAGGGTGAAATGGAAGACATGGTATTCGTAGATTTCCAGAACCCGAAATACGGCACTCCTCTCATGGATCTGGTGTACTTTATAATTACCTCGGTCCACATCGACTACAAATTGGAATGTTTCGACTACTTTGTCAGGCACTACCACGAACAGCTTACCAGGCACCTGGACTTCCTGGGTTTCAGTGGCCGGCAGCCCACCTTGAGGGAGCTCCACAGCGAGGTGATAAAGTTCGGCAGTTGGTGCCTCTTCCCAGCCATCGCTGTGTTGCCCCTCGTGCTCCTGGATCCAAGTGAGTCGGCGACGTTTGATAACTTCATGGGCGAATCGGAAGCCGGAAGGGAGTTTAAAAACCTCATATACTCAAACAAGAGATATCATCCATATATTGAAAAGATCCTGCCTTGGCTGGAAAATAAGGGTTTCTTGGAAGTTAGGTGAGTACTCCATTCTTGGCAGTTCAGTTTAGGAGAGATAAGATATTTTTCTTGCAGCAAACCAAGTCCAACTCCAAATCCGCCTACAAGTCCGGCCGATATTTCCACCGAAAATCCTCAACAAATTCTGGACTGGCTCAATGTAAATGATTTCCAGGAGATCTTAGCCGCAATGGAACCCAACTTTGAGAAGATTGTAGGTGGGTCTTGGGCGTCAGCAACAAAGCCAGGCGACAACTTCGCCTCAAAGTTGCTTAAAGTGGATATTGAGGCCCAACTTAAAGGTCTGTGTGGACTTAATCTTTTATTTTTAAAATTTAACTTACAACAATTTCGAATTTTTCACAGATAATACCAAGAAATCATTTTCATTCATCGTGAAAGTCCACATATCCCATGGAGGAGTCGACTTTGCCGTCTTTAACCTATTCCCCAAGGAGATAGAGGTCTACAGTAAATATGTGCCTGGCTTTGAGAAACTTTACCAGGAAGCCGGCGCGCCAGTTACATTCAGCCCCAAGTCCTTCAGGCTGAAAAAGGAAATCCCAGAAGAGTATCTGATTTTGGAGAACCTTCAGAGCAGTGGCTTTAAGATGTGCGACCGCACCCAAGGACTGGACTTGGAGCACACAAAGTCAGTACTTAAGAAACTGGCCCAGTGGCATGCCGCCTCGCTCAAGTACAAGGAACTCAATGGAGCCTATCCCGCCAAATACGACAATGGCATATACTCGGAAGAATCGGCGCCAGTCTTCAAGGGAATGTTTGCATTAACTGCCAATAATTGTTTGGCTCATTTGGCCAAGTTTGATGGAGCCGAGGAGTATGTGCATAAATTGGTAATTATTTCTGCAATATGAGTTTATTTTCATAATAAAATTATAATTGTGTTTTCACAGTCACCGATTTTGGAAACTGCCGTAGAAAAACTGATTGAGGATTCAAAAATTAATGACAAGGAGTTCAATGTACTCAACCATGGCGATAGTTGGATCAACAACATCATGTTCCAGTACGACGGCGAGGGTCAACTAAAGGAGACCTTCTTGCTGGACCACCAAGTCACAAAATACGGAAACCCTGCCCAGGACCTTTACTACTTCATTATGTCCTCCACACAGCTGGAAATTAAGGTCGATCAGTTCGACTCACTCATTAACTGGTATCATCAGAACCTTGTGGAAAACACCAAGCTATTGAAGTACTCTGGTTTTGTTCCTAGTCTGAAGGAACTTCACACTATATTGTTGGATCACCCCGCGTATGGTAGGTTCATAAAATGTTAGAAATTTTCATAATTGTTAACTTTATTTTTGGCCATCAGGTGTTTTCACCGTACTCAGCACCATGCCCATGTGCCTGAACAAGACCGATGAAAACTTCACCACCGAAAGCTTCTTCCAAATGAATGAGGAAGGCGATGCTCTGAGAGCAGTCCTATACGGCAACGAGCGTTTCAAGGCCCACATTGAACGGATTATGCCCTGGCTCAATAGGCGAGGATTGCTGGATTCCTTCGTGCAATGAAATAATACTACTTGACTGAAAACGACACAAAACTGACCAAATGTGTTTTCAAAACATATTTTGCATTATTTAGTACTTGAATAAACAATTTTATATAAATATATAATCACAATTCTAATCTATGGAGCTGTTAGCAATTAATTTGGCGGGAACGTCCCTACTTAAAAGCCAACCTTACAGCCAAGACAATACTCGATATGAAGATAGCCGCAATAGCCAGTTTCTTCAGATAAACACGGTTGACGCCCTTGATTGTCCGTACAACTTCAATATTCAGGCGAAAGACATTTCGGCTCTCTTCGATAAAGGCCTCTCGGAGTTCGTCGTCAAATGCACCGTAGTGATTATTGAAGACTCTCCTGAGCCTGGCCTTAAGAACAGATATCTAAAAAAAAAATTATATATTATGAAATTGGATTTAAAAAACAAAAGATAAACTCACCTTTTCTGGGAAAAAGGTAGCCTCACAGCCGGGAGGACAGATTGTGACCTGCGGTGGCATTGGTCTGGACTCCAGGTCTTCATCTTCCCCGTTGGCCTTTTTGTCTGTTATCAATTCGGCCTCCTTTTCTGCATGATTCTGCTTCTCCTCGTCTTCGCCTTGTGGAAAAATCCATAGCTTGCGTGCAATCATCCTCTTCTTTTGCAGCATCTGGCCACCCGACATCAGGGCCATGTACATTTGATAAGAATAAGCAAATAGAAGCAATTCATTTTTGGCGGTCACTTTCTCAAGGTGCTCCAGATACTTTTTAACTTCAGGACGAGGCTCATAGTTGTCCTTCCAGTTAGGGCCGTAAAAATAGGCAAAGTCCCGCTCAAAGGCGGCAGCCCTGTGGAGCTCCTTTGGCAACAAACGCTCAGGAAGATGTGTCTCAAAGAATTTGTACAGTTCGTAGAAGGCCAAGAGTCCATCGTACCAGACCTCATCATCGGAAAGAGCTAGGAAATGGGTCAATTATCTTAAAGCTGCAACTGGAAAGAGCTCCTTGAACCTACCAATAGCGAACTTTGCATTCACCAACACATCCGTCAGTTTGTGCACATCTTTGGTCGCTTTACGCAACTCCTTTGTGAAGGCCATGTCCACGAATTCCACATCCTCCTCCACTTCGCCAGCAGTTGTCGCCTCGACCGTTGACATGATGCTTTTGCGCAGCTACTTTTGTATTATTAATGAATACGCTGGATTTTATTGTTATCTACGTGATGTTTTGCAAAATACGCCGTCTTTGTTTTGAACTGCCAAATCGATAGGGTTTTAATCGAATAATCGGTGAAAAGTGAGGTATTTCATCGTACACCGTTAACGGTCACATTAAACACTTTTTGAGCCCGAATCTGTAGCTGCTGTTTATAGTTTTTATTTTCATTTAGAAATACATAACTTAAGGAGCCAGTTTTTAAACGCTGATCACTGTAAGTGTGCTATGAACGGTTTGGCAAACACCCGAAACACCATCCCTCACAAGAAAACCAGAGAACAATTAGCTTACACTATAATTTGCAATTATTGCTATAATTTTATTATGTTTGCAACACAATAACAAAAATCAACTCACACTGACTAACTAACTGCAGCTAAGAGCGCAGCAAACAACAACAAAACGCTTGTGGCTTTGGGTCTGCACTACTTTCTTTTCTTTTTCGTTTCCACCTGCAACACTTCCCCCACTCCCGCTTCCCTCACTTTATTTGGCTCTGAAGAAACCCCAAAAATGTCGGATCTCTTTACCACTTTTGGCAGTAACGGCGACACTGAGCACTACCAGAACCAACACTACCACAACACCACCTCCGGCGGCGGGCATCACGACCTTCCCATGGCCTCGCCCTCCCAGCACAGTCCGATGACGAACAACAGCAACTCATCCTCTCAGAACGGCGGCCCGGTGGCTGCAGGTTCGCTCTCCGGTGGTGGGAAGTCATCCAATCATAATACAACCTCGGGCGGTTCGGAAAACACACCTGTAAGAGCACCGGCGTCTTCCTAGAAGGGCCATTTGATGGACCAATCGAAGGGGTTCTTTGAAGACCAAACCCAATCTTATTTTTCACTTCTTTTTAGATGCTTACCAAGCCACGTCTTACTGAACTTGTCCGGGAAGTGGACACCACCACGCAGTTGGACGAAGATGTGGAAGAGTTGCTGCTTCAGATCATTGACGACTTTGTGGAAGACACTGTCAAGTCAACCAGCGCCTTTGCGAAGCACAGAAAGTCTAACAAGATTGAGGTGCGCGACGTGCAACTTCACTTTGAGCGGAAGTACAACATGTGGATCCCCGGATTCGGCACGGACGAACTGCGTCCTTATAAGCGGGCTGCCGTCACGGAAGCCCACAAACAGCGCCTGGCTCTCATCCGGAAAACGATCAAAAAGTACTAAAGAATCCCCCAGGCACCAGGTTCGCGAATCTACGTTTTATGTTGGAGGCCGTTTTTACCACAAACTAATTTAAGCAGCAGACTGTAGACTAAAGAACAAATTTAAACAGTTCTATCGTAGTTCTAAAGAAACAATTGTACATCCTTGATTTTACATTCAACAACTGGAAGCTGTCACCAGAACATGCTATACCGTGATCGCTAATAAATCATTATCACAATTTGTAATCACATTCACACTGAATAACTTTATTATTGTTTGGTTTGGAACAGAAGTTCAAAGTTAAAAAATAAAGAAATAAAAAATTATTTCAATTTGAGTAACTTATTAAAGAACAAAAAAAGCTGTACCTGAACGCGCCCCCTAATCACTGCATCATAATGTTGGTATTCCGCGGTCACCGAAAAACGGTCACACGATTTAATATAGTTGATTTTTCTGCTTGTTGACTTTGCACAAAAACAAATTGCACCAATTGGCCTGGGTTTTCGGCCGAACGGCTACTGTCGCCATGAAGCTGCCGGTAACCTGTCGCACCTGCGACTCTACAGACACCGACAATCTTCTGGAACTGACCACGCCCTCGAAAAAATATCCGGACAAGCTGATCTCGGATATCTTAGCCGAGCTCACAGACATCAATGTAAACAAAGCTGGAAATACTACAACTAATTGAATAAATAGATAACTCACACTGTGCACATCTTTTAGGTGGATGCCACTGCTGGACAGAAAGTGCCACAGGCCCTGTGCTTCGCTTGCACCAAAAAACTAATGGGGGCTTATTGCTACGTGAAGCAGGCGCTGGTCGCCCACGAATTGCTGATGAAGCACCTCAAAAGGGTGGCACCCGCCGTTAGTGCTACCGACTGCTTGCTGGAAGCTCCAATGGAGATATGTGCCGAGCAGCACGTAAAGGTTAAGATGGAGACAGAGGAAGAGGAGGACGTTAGCGCCAACGATGTGAGAATAGCTTGCTCAGAGTTAACCGAACCGGATGAACAGGATGTCGACAACAAGAAATCTGTTGATCCGCTGACCATGATAGAGTCGGTTAAGTTGGAGACAGACCCGTCTAGCGTGGACTACGTTGTGGAAGGAGCATTCGTAACAGATATTGAGGATGAAGAGTGGGTGTTTGGAATGTATATACTTTTTCGTACTTATAATGTCAATAAATTTATTATGTATTCCAGTTCCCTGGACAATTTGCCGCTCTTCAAGCGAATTGAAAAGTGGAAAGAAGGCAGAAATACCTTGTTTAAGTGCCACGATTGCCCCCGGAGTTTCAAGCAATCAGAGTACTTAAAGAGACATCAGACCCGTTTCCACAAGCCCGAGACGCAGTGGTTCGCATGCTCCCTCTGCGTTCGCAAGTTTAGTAGCAGCGAAGCTTTAGAAGCACATCTGAAAGTTCACAGAAACTCAAAGCGATCTTCCAACGTAAGCGAGCACAAGAAGGCTAAGACTGTGGATCTGAATCTCTGCAAGCCACATGGCTACAAGCTCATCGAGTGTATGATTTGTCAGAGCCAGTACAATAAGATTGCGGATCTGCGACGACATTTGGAGGAGCACCCTGATATTGTCACTCTGAGCCTGCGTCCAAATATGGAGGCTAATGAGCTGGCAGAACTGTTTTATCCAGACTCCAAACACCTGGACGAGGATCGTTTGATTAATTTAATTCAAAAGGACCTTGCTGCCGGCATTTACCAGCGCTTCTATTCTATTACCAATCAAAGTGGGTATGAAATGGATCTGGACAGCTCCGAGACGGAAAGCGATTTGGATGGAGATCCGGAAGATTCGCATAGGCGAAAGAAGTACCGCAAGCCCAGCTACATCTGTGAACTTTGTCAACAGAAATTTCCCCGAAAATATCTTCTGTACGACCACCAACGACAGACTCATAGTTGGTCAGAAGCGCCTCATGTCTGCGGTCGGTGCGATGGCCGTTTCGTGAGTCTCCAGCTGCTAAGGCATCATAACGAATCGCAGTGCAGAAATGCGCAGAAAAGGTTCTTGTGTCACAAGTGTCCGCTGCGCTTTCGTTGGAAACATAATCTGAAGGCACATTTCCGGGAGCACAGGATTACGGTATGAAAATGTTTATATGTGTACTGTTTCAAAAATAATAAAAAGAATACTTTTTCAGAATCAAACCTTCGAGTGCCCTGAATGCAAGAGGGTCTTTGACAAGAAAAAGTCCCTTACTGTTCACCTGCTTAGTGTTCATGCCGAGGAGTCGAAACTGATTCCCTGTCAGTGGTGTAGTCGAAAATTCTACCGTCATGATTATTTGGTGAAGCATCTAAAGAGGCACGGCCTCAAGGAGCAGGACATTCCACTAGCCGAGACTCTGATTGCCGCCACATCGCGGCCGAACGGTACGAAGCGAATCACCTGCCGCATGTGTAACCTGCACTTTGAGCGCATCGTGGATCTTCGAGCTCATATCCAACTAGAACTAAAGCTATCTCTGTCTCTGCATCAAAGTTACGACTCCCCGCACAATTATTCCATAACCAATGAATCTGGGTTCGAGCTACAATTAGAGGATTCGGAAACGGACGATGAAATACCAACAGGGTCTAGCAATCGGCCCGTTTACGTGTGCGAGCTGTGCAGCGTTCAGTGCAAGCGGAGGTTTGAAATGATCCAACACCAGAGAACGATGCACCGATTTGATAAAATGCCACACGAGTGCGATGGATGCATCTTTAAATGTGTGTCCAAGGTGAAACTTTGTCGTTTAAAAATAATAGGTATATCCTAACCTTTATTTATCCAGAGCATCATGGATCACCACCGTCTGGACCAGTGCAATAGTTCGGAGAAGAAGCACATATGCAGCAAGTGCTCCTACAAATTCATGTGGCCTGAGAATCTCGAACAACATTTGCGCCTGCAGCACAGTAACACAACTAACAGCGATTCCCCCGGTATCAAGCCACATAGTGCCCCCGGAGATCTAGACAAGGAGGCGTCAGAGGATGGTGTGCCGCTGCTGCAGTGCCCACATTGCGACCGAACTTACCAGATGAAGTCGCGACTCAACAACCATATCCGTGATGTCCATGTGAACGGCGATCGTAAACGGAAGGAGGCAGTTAAGCGCTTCCTCTGTTCGCTGTGTGGTATGGAAACCCAGTCCGCTGCAGCACTGGTGACCCACATGCGCCGGCACACCGGCGAAAAGCCCTTTAAATGCGATCTGTGTGAGATGGCTTTTCCCCGTCATTCAGAACTAGCATCGCATCGTCGGATGCACACCGGCGAGAAGCCATTCCATTGCACAGTTTGCGGCAAGGACTTTGCCCGCTCTGATAAGCTGAAGCGCCACATGCTCACTCACAGTGGCCTCAAACCGCACAAGTGCACGTACTGCGAGAAGAGCTATCGACAGGCCAAGGACCTTAAGCTGCACTTGCAGCAGCACACAGGCGAATGCCCTTTCGTGTGTGGGACCTGTGGCGAGCGCTTCATACAGAGCAGCACATTGGAAAAACATCGTCTGATGCGAAGACACTTCGACGAGGGAGAAGCGTGGATTAGAAGTCAGAAGTAGGGGATTTACAAAAGTAAATAAAAGTTGGGTTTAGTTAATGAAATTGGATTGCTTATTTAGTTTATCGAAATTTGTACAAAATAAGTATTACATCAAATCTGTTCTTTGAAATACAAAAGTAATCTTATCATGATGGAATGGCATCCTCTGCTTTACAGCTCTTCGGATCCAGGACGTGGTTCAATTTTCACCATCTCTACGTCGAAAATGAGTACGGCGTTCGGTGGGATCTTTCCGCCACCGGCACCACTTGATCCGTATCCCGATTCCGGCGGAATTGTGAGCTTCCGCTGTTCGCCCTCGCACATTCCCAGGAGTCCCTGGTCCCAGCCCTTAATCACCTGCTTGGCGCCCAGGGTGAAGGAGAAGGGTGTGCCCCGCTTGTGGCTGCTGTCGAACTCAGTGCCATCTTGTAAAGATCCCTGGATGAATTTAGTTAATAGGGGGTTAGGTTTGCCGGCTGCACGAAAATCATCCGCTCACCTTATAATGGACGTGTACCATGTCACCGCTTTTGGCCTTACGGGTGCAGTTCTCAACGCGCTTCTTGACCCCAATGGTAACCTTTGGCTCGGCCACGGCAACAGCCACAAAAGCTGAGATAAGAAATAGGCAAGCAATCTTCATATTTACTGTTTTTAGAAATAACACAGAAAGTGGCACATCAAGAACTTTTCAGTGTGGCCATATATAAACAAAAATCAAATCCTTTATTTACAGAAATAAATAAATTTTAACAAAACTTGGCCCTGTCTTGAAATGAATTAAAAATAATAATTAAAAAGTCTCAGAGCCTACAATGGAAGATATTTATTCATTAATCGACTATAAGTCATAGTCCAACAATCTAAAAAAAAAAATAATAAAACTCAGCCACACTAAAATTTATTCATTTCCGCTCAAGCCCGCCAAATTTAAAAAAGACTTTCACTTTGCTAAATAAGTATTTTTTTCTTGTAATTCACAATAATATGAGTACAGTACAGCTTGGTGTAAACTTAGAAATAACTTACGTACATTAAAGCTCATTTAAAATAGATACATACAAAATTTGATTACATATTTGACTTTTGCCTAACATACCGAGAGCTCCAAATATTCATCATTTGTTTCGGATAGTATGGCCCCGAAACTCAAAACACACTCAAAACCGGTGCAAAAACAAAAAATTGACATTATAAATATGCAACAGATTATCAAGAGATATACGAATGTACGATTATATCACAATAATAAAGGAATACATACATTTAAATGATATTTAAAGCCCGAGAAATAACAATGATAAATCAGGTGCCAACATTCAAGCGTAATACTACTTTATACTACTATTTCGTATAAAATACATCTACTATTGTTAACTGACGGCCACAAAATGTCCGTACTGGAAATGTGAACTCTATCAAAAATTCGGTTTCCACTCGATGGGGACTTTAATTGTCATTGGACAGATTTGTGATCTTGGCCGCGTACATGCTGGCCACCTTGTAGATAAATTCATACTGCTCCTTGGTCTGCACTGCGCTGGCCCGCCCCCGCCGCACGTAGTAGACCAGCTGGGGAATGTCCACGGACCGCTTGGGGGTCTCCAGGCTGCGAATGGCCATATCTGAGGCGATGATGGTGCCAGTGCGTCCCGTGCCTGGAGAACAGTGAACGGTTAGCGGTCTGCAGGGAGAGATGAAATGGAGAACACAGAAACACATTAAAAAGCCATGCAAACACAATTGCTTTAAAGATAAAGTAAACAGTAAGAGTTTTAGGGACTTACCCTTGCTGGTTTCGAGCCGCACTCCTGCTGGATATATTTCCATTTATCTCATTGCTCGACGTGCTGCTCGCCTCCGTCTTTGTGCTACTCTCTGCATCCATCGATGTCTCCAGAGTAGCTGACTTTCCGCGCAGCTCGATCGCCTGCTCCAGGCAGTAGGACTTGAGCGAGGATCGTGCCTCCAGCAACATGGCGATAATCGGGGCCTCCTCGGCCGGTACCCCCGTCTCGGGCCACTTGTACCAGTAGTGGGTGAGCTCTCGGCTCTCCTCACCGTCCACTCGCTTAAGCATCAGCGTGGAAATGGCATATTTGTCCTTCACCTCGCGGTGCTTCAGCGTCACCTGGTAATCCCCATAGCTGCTGTGGTTGTCCAGCGTTGCCGATGGTGGCAGGTATTCGGCGCACTTCTCGATGCCGTTCTCACTGAGATCGGTCGCCTGGATGATCACGCGCGACTGCTGCTCCCAAATCATGCGCCAGAAATCGCTGGTGGTGCTTTCCATTGGCGCCTGGCAGGCTATATAGTAGTTGGGTGCGTCCCGGGGACCCTGAACGAAGAAAAATTAATTTTCAGTTATGATTCATTAAAGAAATAGCCTTAAAGAAGTCCCAAAAACCACCTTAATTCCTGTCATTATAGTACATGTCCCAATTAAGGCATGTTTTGTAATACATCTGAATGGGGTTTATTCAAAACCATTTAAAAAACACATGGTCTTTTTTTTGTCTGTGGGCTTTAAGAAACTCGCACGGGGCTGAGCTGTGAGTAATGACATAACCATTAATTAAAAATTATTGCGGCTTAACTCTCCCTCGCCCACACAAACGCAATGAAAACAAAAGCTGAACTGCGATGAGCTGCGATGAGTGGCGGGCGACTCTGATAAACGACCATATAAGATCGCGGTGGCAAGTTCTGCGCATAAATCTCGACATGCCCAGGTTATCGGCAGGTGCACTGCCGTTGAACGCTTAAGTGATTCGCTTCAATGCACCGCCGACGTTCCGCTTCAATGCAGTTGTTTGAAGTGCGTTTTTGAAATGTTTTCGCAAAAACATCCAACTTGATGGACCAGCCAAAGCCCCCAAACTGATCCTGCCTGGAAAAACAGTGCTTGTTAAAGTGCATTTAAGCCATCAAACGTTCGTGCTTTCGATTTTCAAGCGAAAATTATACGAAACGAGTAAAAAGTATTTTAAAATGAGAAAACCAATTATTTTAATTGTCACCAAGAGCCCCTAATTAAGCTATTATCTCCACTTAAGCTGGTTAATCATTATCCGAAAATTCTAGCCTGAACAAAAAATGTTGACATGAGATCTTAAGATAAACAAAAACAGAAAGACTGTCGGAATAGTCACGCCCTGGAGTATCTTATTTCTTAAACATGTTTCGCAGTTTTTAGGCTTCAGAGCCATAATTGTTTTAGCCAAAAAACATGGGGGTCAGAGAGCATGTCAGCGATCGTGATGTAAGGGCATTCACACTTCGATGATCTTGGCAAACACTTTCCCTTAGCGCAATTATTATTTGCTTGCACGGAGATGGGCAACAAAGACGCCACCAGCCACCACCAGCCCAGTCTAATTCACAGTCATGGCCAGAAGATGGGTCTTTGCGGAATCTCATCGGCCGTGTAATTATTCGGGGCGCCATGTTTAATGGGCCTCGAGAGGGCCTCCCAACAAAGACGAGGCGTCATGCAAGGCTCGCCACATATGTAAACCACAGGCACGGCACCACCACCCACTTCAGATAAGTTACTAACCAACCACCCACCCAAACAACGTACTGCTGGGTGGGTGGGAAAGCTGATTGTTTTGATGAGTCGGCTGAGCCACCGCCGCCCACACACCACCTGGAGACGCTGCGCCTCGGTTACTTACCCGCACATAATTGGCATTAATGTATTCCGTTTTGTCGTCGTCCCCCTGTCTCTGGAGCACCACACGCGTCTCAGGAAGCGGAATCACGTTGGCGTAGCTGCGGTTCCCAGTTCGAGGTCGCCAGGTTGAGTCATCATTGTTGTTATTGTATCAGGAAAAAAGCAGGAAGAGATGTGCCAGAGATCAGTATTGTAATTGATTCGACAACGATGTGAACTCGGGACGAGAAAGCGAACTCTTAATTAAAGTGGATATCAGTTATAAAGAAACTGATGTAATATTTTAAAGATGATCAAGACTCATTGGGGTTTTTAATATATAATTCTACTAATCCTACTGGTATCTTAGTTGAACTAACATCACTTAATCATTTAAAACTTTTGTTAGAAAGTCTGACTAATATCCACTGTGATTAAGAAAATTCCATTTCCAAAAATTCCCAAACTTACCGGTTCTTGTCTTCACAGCCGGGTGGGACTTCATCCGCCCTGGCTATGATCTGCGGCACGTCCCGGAACTCCTCAAAGACATCGGAGCGTTGCTCCACAAAACGAGCCAGTTCTCCGGCCGTCAGAGGATTGTGACGCAGGGAGGGATCGTCGAAAGCGGCATTACCGTAGGTCCTCTTGGAGGCTCTCACATCTCGGCCCTTGCGACGCACACTACCCAGCACCGAAACGTTGTCCAGGGAATAGGCATCCAGGCTGACTGGCCGGCAGCGCTGGCCATAGGACATTTGCTTCTGGCGCTTGCGCATCAGATAGAGGAACGCCACCAGCAGGATGAGGGCCACCACACCGATGACACTGACGGTGATGGCTATGATCACGTTGACGTCCGTGCCGTTGCCCTGGGCATTGGACTGCATGTGGTCCAGTTCATTGGGATAGGGGGCCGCAAAGCTGGGCGGGAGTGTGGGTGATGGAGTGGTAGTGCTTGTCTCTGGCAGCATGGTGGTTCTACTGGTTGTGGTAGTACTGGTGGTAGTGGTGCTGCTGCTGAGAATTGCAGGTATTTCCGGTGAAGAGGAATCGGTATAGTCCTCTGTGGCGGGTTCCACTGACGGGATTGTGGTTCTCCTGGTAGTTGTGTCATCCAGAAGACTAAACAAAGGCGGTTGCATTGTTGTTGTCGTTGAGGGAGGAGTCTCTGTCGTGGTAGTTGTGGTTGTAGTGCTTGTTGTTGTAGACGTAGTACTTGTAGTTGTTGTTGTAGATGTTGTTGATGCCACAGCCATTGTTGTCTTGGCTAACTGTCGTTCTGTGTCCTGCTCTTCAACCACCTGTTCGACCTCATGGTGGTGAAGTTCCTTTTCGCTTTCCTGGCCACCTGTTGCCTCAGCAGCTGTGCTTTCATCCGTTGCAACACCAGCAGGTGTCGTCGATTCGGATGCCTCACCGATGTTATTGGTCTCCAGTGACGATTCGTGCTCCTTGCTGAGCTTACTGAAGTCACTCAACAGGGTAGAACCACCCTCAGTTGTTGTGGTTGTTGTGGATGATGTTGCTGGTGGTGTTGTTGTTGCTGTTGCCTTCGTCACCGCCTGCCGCTCGCTCTCTGTTGTGACCACACTGTTATTGACCGCGTTATCGGTTTTCTCAGCTGTTATTAGCTCATTGGCGTTGTTCAGGCCCAATTTGTCGCCAGTATCTTCTTCTCTGTCGCGAGCACTCTTCACTGTCACTGCCTCTAAATTCACTTCATTGCTAATTTGCGCAATTTCCGTTTGCGTTGGCGTTGGCGTTGCCCCAGGCGTTGTTGTACTCGCGATAGTACTTGCTTCACGCGCACCTGTATCTGGTAAGTCGGTAACCGGCCGATTCGTTGTCGAGCTGCTCGCCTCGCCAGCCACTTGAACACTAACCGATGTTGCTGTTGTCCCCACTGGCAACTGCTCTCTCTCCGGCTCCGGCTCTGGCTCTGGTTGCTTGGTTGTTGCGACGATGACGTCGTTACTGCTATTATCAACATCGGCGCTGTTGTCGTTATTTTTGTAGTCATGAGCCGCTTTCATTGCCATTTCAGTTGTACTGGTGGGGGTGGAACTTGTAAGGTTTATTGCTGTTGCTGTTGTTGCTTCAGATGTTGCTGCTTTGGGAGTTGCTGCTGTGGATGTTGCAACTTCTTCTGTTGCAGTTTCTAGAGGTTCATCTTTGGTGGTTGATGTTGCTTCTGTTGTGGTTGTGGTTGTTTTTGTTGTTGTTGGAAGCTCTGAATTTTCTAAAGCCACCCTTGCTGTTACAGCCTGTGTTGTGTTCAGTTCTAGTGGAAGCTCAGATTTTTCTAAAGCCACCCTCGCTGTTACAGGCTCTGTTAGGCGTGAGCTGGATGTTGCAGTCGGCTCTGTAGATACTTTCATCGCTGTAGTAGCCTCTGTTATGGCCTGCACCTCCGTTTGAGCCTCTGTTAACTTGGCTTTAGCTGCCTCGGCCATTTGCTTCACCAAAGGAACATCAAATAGCTCCGTTCGAGCGGTTGTAGAAGTCACTGTCTCCAAAACTTCCATTTCCGCAGTAGAATTTCTCTCAGGCTCTACGTCTAATTCTATAATTTCACCACCTTTGGTATTACTTTCCTCCTTCAGAGCTTCGGTGGTGGCCTGTGTGGCTCCTTCAGTGGCATCCAGAGTGGTTCGGACTACAAACTCGGTTCGGTTTTCCGAGGATGACTGCATCATGGCTATCTGCTGCCAGTCGAGCAAGTTCTTCTCCTTCTGCTGCTCCGTTCGGTTGTGAGGCAACTCGATGTCGTTGGCCAAATCGGTTTGGTTGAAAATCGGCAGCACTGTCGTGGATGTGGTGGTCGAGGTGGTGACTGGACCCTTTGGAACCGACTTCATCCCGGCCTGGCTCCACACCTCAGCGGTATTCGGCAGGGTCAATTGCTGGGCATTTGTGGAGTTTTCGCTGATGAACTTTCCCCGTTTCTCCGGCATCTGGCGGACAGTGGACTCCTCAATGGCATTCTCGTTGGAGGCAAAGGAAGTGGGCGTGGTGGCGGAGGCAGGAGTTGTCTTTCTTGTTGTGGATGTGGTGATCACGGGGGTGGTCGAGGTCATGGGCAAAGCCCTCAGTTTCATTGGAGTCACTGGCGAAAGGATTTGAATGGCTTCCTCTGTGGTGGAGGAGTACTGCATGGATCGGGCATGATCCGATCGAGTTGTGGATCGAACTGCTTCGGTGGTGGTCAGACCAAGAGTGGTAGAACTCAAGGGGAGGCTTTCCGTGGTGCTGCTTAGATCGATTTTATCACTGATCCCCGTCACCTTGGGTTTCTTCTCCTCACCCAGTCCCAGAGTTACAGATTTCCAAGGGCTACCAGTGATTTCTCGCAAAGGAGTTGAGGTGGGCTCCTTAGGAGTCTCTTCAGTCTCCTGTGCCAAAGCTTCTTTGGTCTCATTTTTTGAATGAGGATTTAGAACAGTCCTCTCTCCACCTGTTCCAAAGAATAAGAATGGTTTCAAAGGATTCCTGGTTACTACTTCTATAGATCCAACTGTAGTTTCTTGGTGAATTACCAAAGGTTCTTTTTTGATACGTTCTTCTTTCAAAGAACTCGAAGCTTCATTACCAGAATCGTCTTTAATCATGGATGAAGAGGTCTCGGATAATGGAGTATCTTTTTCTGACTTCTGATCTTTTCCAGGGGTCTGACTCTCTGTGGTCTGATTACCCTCGTTGGAATCTGAAGTCGGAACGGCCTGACCTTCTGTCGTGGTACCTCCACCCTCATCTTCCAGTCTGGATTTTATCCCCACTTCCTGGATCTGCGTAGCACTCCCGCTTTCCCTGGCTGGTGTAACAATGTCAGGGTCAGTGGAAGTGGAAGCCACCGCCTGCTCCAAGCCGGCGGTTTCTCTTTTCGCAATGAAACGTGCCTGCGTTAGCATTACGGCCAGGGCGAGCATTAAGCCACCACACAGCCAGCTATCCACACGCATCGTAGGTGATGGTGATGCCTTCTCTTTCAGCTAGTGTCGGTCTGTCTCTTTCGCGCTGTGGGCCTTCTCTGTGGGTCAAAACAATTCCACGTTCGACTTGGCTCAAAAATCGCAGTTCCACTTTGCGTTCGCTTGAGTTATTGCTGTCTGCTTATTTGTTTTCTCATTTTTTTGTTTTCAACCGTTTTCAGTTTCTATTATTATATATATATATTTCTGAGATTATTTTCCATACACTTTTCCTTCGCCACACGACCTGCAAAAGAGGGGAATACTAATTAGTGAACAGGCTATATTTCTGGTTAAATGCATTTCATTTTATAAATATACAAGTCTATATATAGAGTGGCATTTTCGGCTTTCATACGTTGAAGTATTCCCTGGAAAGTGAGTAGCAATTTCCCACTCTATAAACGTAATTAATGTCATTAAGACACGTTCCGCATTCCCCCGAGTACGTATTATTGGGCGGGCAAGTTCAAGGCCAAGAGGCACGATTGGGTAAATTAAGTTAATATTATTTATTGGTAATAGGTACATAACAGCTTAGGGAGCTCTACTCTATAAGTAATAGCCCTAAAATATATTAAATTAAGGTGAGGTATTCATAGTCAGATGCAGTTGTGACTCATTCCTGACTCATATGAATCTAAATAATTGAAATATAATTATAACAAGAAAGGAAAGCTAACGTCGGGCGGAGCCGAAGTAATATACCCTTATTAGAATAATAAGGCCGATCCTTATTACAAGTTTATTATAAAACTAATTTATGGGAATAAAAAATTTCAAAAAGAGTCAATTTTTCGTGGTGGGATCCCTTGAAAATGGGGTTTTTCCCTATATGGTACACAGTGATGGCTATATTTTCCCCAATTCTCATCCGATTCTCAAGCGAAGTACCTTAAACGATTTCTGGATCGATTCTCCACCAGTCTGCATCAAAATCCTGAGACAAAATATTTTTTAGATTTTTTGTCCATTTTTCATGAGCATGAATCTAAAAAATATGAATATAATAAAAAATGTATATCCAAAAACTCAAAAATCCAATAAATTGATAAAATAATTTTCTCTACAGATAAGTAATGGAAAACTTCCCTAGTTTCCAACTCAAGTTCAAACTAATGCTTTTTCCAAAATAAATAGTATCAAGGAAGCCCAAGTTCATTGTACCTTGAGAGCTTAGTAATAGTTCATATCAAAGTGTTTACCATCACCAATAGTACTCCATACTCCACCCACCCATAGTTTTTCGCTGAAACTGTGACTTGCGAGCCATTCATAAGCCCAATCGATGTCATGGAACGGTCGTGGAGTGCATAAAGTTCATTCAACCAAGGCCTCCACAACGAACTCGTCAAAAGTTGCTCTGGCAGTTGAAGTATTCGAACTTCGAAGCTCGAACCGAACTGCCAACAGAGCCACCCAATAATAACTATTACTCGGATATACAAAAATATTCACCATGGATATCAGTGGGTTGTTATCTTTGGATCCGGGCGATGCCATGCCAAAGGTGCATGCAACCTGGCCTACCCCCTTCGGCTCAGCCTGGCCTACCCCCTCATGTTTGTAATTAACGCTAAAAGCCCCCTTTCGGTGGTTGGTTTCCATTGTCAGGTGTCAGGGGGGTGCTATATATTCAGGTGTGGCGTCAAACTCCATGTACGACGGTGGTAGAACCCCTAGGAGTTGACTTCCAAAATAAAATCTTAAAAGTTATACTACTTCCATTTATTTATTTTTTACCTATTTGCCAAGTTAGCGCTGACTAATACCGCTCGTATAGGTATATCAAAAGATATATATATATATATATATATAATTATGCACACATGTGCTCTCTGATAAGATTTGTTTGGGCAGAGCTCCCGCAAAGCCCAGACAGCTACAAAATCACCGCCCGGCATTTTGTAATTTTTTTTTATATATTTTTGAATGTCAACGTTGCTGCTGATAAAAAAAAAGGTAAATCGTTATCGCTGATTTTCTGTTTTTTTTTTGTTCCTAAAGGCCAACCGTCCATTGGTAAAGGGCATAACAATAGCCACTGTTAAGTGAATGGCAAGTTTACTCAGAAAACAATGAAACTCAAATACACATGGTCATAAAAAAAGCTTATCACAAAAACATTAAATGTTACAAAATAGCTTTGAAATATTTGATATTATAGTAGTTTCTAGAAAGGTTTCGGATTCCTAATGAAAACGATAGAAAACTGCTTATAGGGAACCTTAACCCTTGCAATAATGTTTCTATTACTTTGGCGAAACACCTTCAATTATTGTAAACAATGATACCAAGACACCTGATTTGCCTATCAAGGTGTTATTGCATGACTAATAGGAGTGCCAGCTATTGACAAAGATTTTTATAAAATTTTTTTAGAAAATTCAAATATTTAATCAAATTAAAATGTAATTAATTTTCATAAAATTATTTATCTATAAACTTACTATTCAATCAGTTTTTAATTAATTTTAATACAATTTTAAGTTTACATCATAAAAAAATATCTACAAGTAAGTTACAGTATATCTACATGGCTTCTTACAAAGAGAAACCCCCAAAAGTAGGCAATACATTTTTCCATTTTCCAATTACAAATTAATCCAAAAACCTGAATGAAATTTGAAGACTTAATCTGCTGGGAAAATTTCCGTAGCTAACAAGGTAAATACCTAGGAGTTCCAACCTGCTATTGATCTACTGAACCACAGCTTAGGGCATCTGAAAAACTAGGAAGACCTGGGCCATGAAATCGAGACCTCCACTTAACACAAGCCCTGAGCTCTGAACGATGGATCAAGTGCGGCTTGGCATTGGCCCTGACCATGTAGAAGAGGGAACGATGGGGATCCCAGTAGGAGAACTCAAGATGTAAACAGAAATCAGCATTAGAGAAACGAGCTGGTCGTGGAGCCGACTCATTTCCGCTTCAGCAGCACGCACTGAGGATGAACGAATGACTTAGAATTCTCCGGCATGGGGGCTCCTCCATCTCCTCCATCGTCAGTCTGCCAGCTCCAGCTCCATTGACGATCAAATCGAGGATGATCGCGGAAGAATGCTGAACCAGTTTTTGCGGCCCAGTAAAGCTTCGCTTCGATTTCGATTTGCAATTATGATTTCATTTGCATTGCGATGGACATCGATGAAGATTGCAGTGGATGTGGAGAATGGCTTGGGGATCGCTCGGTATCTTAATGATCTCGGGAGTTGGTATAGTTGTCTTAGCGATAATGATAGCCATCTGGATAGCCATGGTCATGACTTGATCGGTGCCTGTGATTGATGATCAGTAGCTTGAAGCAATCAAACTGCCAGGGAGAGGATAGTTAGCTTAGGAAATGAGTAGACTGCTGGGAAGTTTCCCAAGGTATTACCAACTAAAATTCACTTAATCCACATCCGAAAAAAAGCTCATAAGCTTGCTCCAAGTACTAATCGCCTCTCCAATCAAAAACATCTTCCATAACCCAAATGACGGACTACAATTCCTAAGAATGGCAACAGTTAGCTTGGAGAATCACAGCCGTAGAGATATGTATGTCTAGTCTTCTAAGCTCCACAGATTCTCCGAGATGTGTTCTTGCCGTTTCTGAGGAATGAAGATGCTTATCAATAATGAATACCAAGCGGGACCTATGCTGCTCCAAAATCAGCCGAGTGTGGTGGAGAATGCGACGCATAACACGCTCAGATGATAGCTCAACCATTTGAGCTCCATATAAACAATTTCTATAGATTATAACCGCAAACATAACTGTCTACATGATGATCAAAATAGATCTATTTTGAAAAATGTATCCACGGAAGTATCTTATTTGGACGAGTCGATGCGATCTTCATTATTCTCTATTAACGGACTTCCCAAGCGTATCATGGTATTCATTATGGGAAGCAGATCTCATTCCACACTCTGGCCTCATACCATCACCGAAATTTTGTTGCCATTCATGTGATTCGTTGGCCGGATGACTCATTTCCATAACATTTTCTTATATCATTGGTCTATGTATAGGTATGCAAATTTGGATTCAAAATTTCTTTATTTTTTGCCGAATAATTATAGCCAAAGTGAGCGATAGGTCTGCCCTGAGCTGAACTTTCAACGCAATCAAGTCTACCAAAGAAATCGAAACCCGCAATGAAATCGAACTCAATTTGGGAAATCTAAAATGCGGCCAAAAGATCACCAGATGCCATGGAATTATCAATATCTTCACACATAGAAAAAAATAGTCTAAACTAAGGCAGTAATATATAAGAAATCGTTCAGATATCTGATTAAAGATATACATTTTTCTAGTTCATGTAGTTTATGCAAGATATGATTTTAAAACTAAGTCACATCTTAAAGATATAAATTATATCTTGTACAATTTTTCTTGCTCTGTAAACCAAACGATCAAAACCCATCAATTTTGACCTTGTCAGCCCTGCCATTAGCGTTTATTGAACTTGCCAGCTGGGGCAACAACCACACATTGGCCATTGAATTCGCAACTGAAGAGTTTATATATTTATGCTGTGTGTATTTGGAAAAAATGTGAGATCGCTGGATACTTGAACGTGTAATAATTCCATTTTTATAGCACTCTCCCCCGGCATATGTTCTTTTTAATTTTAGATTTTTAAATATTTCCAAGATCCCAAACGCTGATAGTTTCCTATTTATACATACGGAGTGGTATGTTTGCCAACATGGCAGTGATAGCCATCTTTCAATTGCAGCAACTCTATAATATCCAGTCGATGGTCCCGATAAGTGTCTTGGCCACGCAATATGCAAGTTAACCCAGAGCCGAATATGGCCAAGTATTCGGACTGCCTGCCACTGTCTGCCTGGTTGTTGCTGCTTATCTGTGCCTGCAATTACTCTAATGACAGGCACAAATGTATCTAGCCGAGCTCAGATACATTCTGTACATGTGTGTCAGCCGCATAATTGCCCCTAATGCAATTGAACAATTAGGCAGGCACTGCAGCTCGAACCCAAGCCGCACAACTAATGCAAATCAAATGTTTGCACTACGAGAAAGGGTAAACGGTCTAAAGAAATACAAAAATTTATTTTAAATATATCTATACTTATATCTGTATATACCTATACTTATATTAATCTGTTTTGGCAAGCCATTATTCAAAAGAACCTTCAGCTTAACTTCCAAAAGTA